TTTTGTTTATTTTTTTCAATCTTACTACCTGACCTAGATTGAAATTTCATATTAAAATTCGATCTCAATCTCAATCTAATAATTTTTGAAGGCGCCCATTGTTACTATATTACATTATCAAAAAAAAAAACGGATCTAGTGAACACTTATTACACGATTAGTAAAGAAAAAAAAGAAAATTATTATATATATTATTATTATTACTATATTATATTGTTACATTATTACATTATATTACATTATCAAAAAAAAACGGATCTAGTGAACACTTATTACGCGATTAGTAAGGAAAAAAAAAATCATTATATATATTATTATTATATAATTATATTAATATTATATTACATTATTAAAAAAAAACGGATCTTGTTACGCGGCTAGTAAGGAAAAAAAAAGAAAATCACTATATATACTATTACTATATAAATTATAATATTAAATAGAAAATGTATTTTTCATATTTATTTATTTAAAAAGACCATTTTTTATATTGTTTATATACTATTAATTTTGAAAACACAACAATTAAAAATGAGTAACATTCAAGTAGGAAATAAGTATGTTTTAAGGGTATTATTTTCTACTTAAATGGGAAATATTTAAGAATAAAACGAGTAGAATCTAAGTACAATTCAGGTATGGTTTAAGGATAAAATAAGTACAAAATAAGCATATCCCTAAAAGAGCAAAACACACTTAAATTCTACTTAAACAATACTTAATTTCTACGCAAATTTAAGTATGTTTTGAGAGCATAATAAGGTGTTACTCCCCTTTATTTCACTAACTGATTTTATTATTTTTTTAGAATTTTTTAAAAAGAAAAAAACGAATAAAATGGATCCCAAAAGAAGAAAGAAAGGTCATAATACTAGAAAGTAAGTATTGTTCTTTTTAAAGTGGTGGTGATTGCATGCAGCTACTGTTGCTATTCTATTTTAGAGGGAAATTGAAATTTAACTTTTCTAATCTTAATCTCTTTTTTTAGTATAAATATTGAAAACAAAGACGAGTAAGCACGTTAAAAATATTATTTTGAGTCAGCTGATTTATATATCTTATAATTTAAATTCTTTGTAATATACTTTTAGGTTATCGGAAATTACCAAATTACTTGGAAAAAAAAAGAGAATAATTAATTAACTCAGGGTTGGCAAATCGACTGGTCCATTGAGAACAGATGGATTTTGGACTGGTCCATTGCCATTAATAAAATACCAAATATGGTTAAAATGTTACATTAATGGACCCAATGGACCACCAATAGACCATCAATGGACTGCACATTTGCCAACCCTGAATTAACTATATAAGCAACACCTTGATTGGTTTTTTATTATCGTATCCTTTTTAACATTAATGAACACAAAGAATCTTTATTATTATACACATATTAAGCTTTAACTAATTTATTGTATTTATAGATATGGTGAAACTATTGATTTAGAAGACATGTCCATGTTTAGTACCACAGGTTTTGTATAATTTTATCTTTTTTAATAAAAAATGTTTAATTATTTACTGATTAATTTTTTAAATAGAAGAATTAAAAGATCATCTTAACATGATAATTGGTACGGTATGTGGATGGATCGAATTCTCATGGACAAAAAATGGTGAAGTGAATGGTATAAAAATTGATAAAAATTATACATTGTGAGATTGTAAACAGGGACTGAGGAAGTCCCAAGCCAGCAGATCAATTGGAACCCAAATACATATCATACAAGTAGAATATTAGATGAAGAGATTGCTAAATCTAAAAGCTTGAAAAGTTATGATAGTTCATTAAATAATCTTGTTTTCAACTCTTTTTGTTAACAAAGGTGAATAAAATTTCATTATTAATTAATTGGAAATTACTATCCATTAATTATTACTAATATTAATTAATTAATTAATTAATAGACATTTGATTCTAGTAATAATAGTAAAAGAAAAGATGTGATAAATGACTAATTTAATCTCCACTATAAATTTATTATTATCTTTTTTATTTATCTTTATTTTGTTTCTCAAAACTAAATTATAATTATGCTTTGAAATAATAAACTTTTTATAGTTTCCGATTCATGTTAAATTGTGAGGTATCATTTCGGTTAATTAACAATTATGGTTTAACTTTTGGGTCACTTTTGTCAGTTATGTCAGTTAATTGCAAACAATTTGGTGTTTGTCAATTAATTAGTTTATTTACTCTTTCTTGCACCTAGAGAGTCCAAACCTTTGCTTATTCACCAAAGCAAATCACTTTATTAATCATTGTTAACACTTACTAGTTAACCAACATTAGTCCTAACCTCACAATTGTTGCCTTTACCAAGGCACTAACCACGCTTATTGCTTTTATTAAACAAAGAATATAAAGACAATATTTTTATTTCTAAAAGTTTATTAACAATTAATTTTATTTAATCTCAGAGTTTTATTTTATTGAATGTTAATTATCTATAATTTTCCTCTGTAAGACCCGAAGTTATGCTTTTTCAAGCAAATATCAGAGGTTATCCTTCGTTGATCACCACAACAAAGATAAAGATAAAATGGTTTATTATTGCAAAGTCACTTAATCAATCAATATTGATATTATAAAAACTTCCATAGCTTTTGTGTAAAATTTTCGATTGATAATAATTATACACTAAAATTAGTTGACCCTGGAACATAAAGTACCGAATTCCTAATCGATGATTTATCTACTCGATCATGTATAACATTATAAGAGATGTTTGTAAATGAGTGTGTGGGAACTGAATTTGTATTCAGCAAAAGAAAACCTTTGCTCCTGTGAACAACTGATGAAACAAAGGAGAGATTGGGATACACAAGGAAAAAAGACTTTGAATATATGTTTACAAGTTATTTATTAGCCTTTAAAGCAATTTTACTTACGTCAGTTTTGACTTAATGGCAGCGAATTTGACGTAATAGTTTTACAATTTTGGTAACATTTCATTAGAAACTGGTACAAAAATTCTGCAAATTAAGAGGTTATAATCAGGATTGCTGTTTTGTTAGAGCCTTGTGAACATGAGGAATGTGAGTGAATGACTGTAATGTCTTCAAGGTAGCGTGTTCTTTAACGTTTGCCAATTTTTCAATAATCAAACATTACATATTGCCTGACATCTTCTTATTTAATATTAATATTGATAATGATTACGAAAGCAAATCAATGCCAATTACAGTCAAACTGAACTTTTGGGAATCACAAAAATAGGATCGGCTTATCAAAATTCGGTTTATGAAGATGATTTACAATCATAATTACTGAATTAGTATTAGTAATACATAATCATCATCATCTAATCTTAAGTTCGGTTTATCAAATTCTATTAAATTCGGCTTAACAAGATAATTTTATTTAATTTTGCATCGTTATAAAGCGTAAATCGGTTTATAGTGAATTCGGCTTACTGTATTATTATTATTATCAAGAATAATATAAATACCTAAAGAGACACTACAAGTTCTGCTCTACGCTTTATATACATTTATATAAATAATAAAATATATATTCATTGCATTTTACAAATTAAAAATTGTTTACCTCTCTCTCGCTATTAATAAACAACACATCTGACTGAACCTTGTAAAAAATAAATTTTTTTTCAAAAAGAAATTTATTTGCGTCCAAAAAAAAAAAATCAATCGCGTCAGCAAAAAAAAAAACCAATAGGGGTTCACTTGTACAACTCATACCAAGGCTAAAAAAGAATGATGGCGGGTTGTTGCAATCATTGCAACTAGTCGTCATTCTAGTTAAAAAGAATTAGTAGTTATCGCGACTCATCATCTTATTTGTCATACAAATAATTTTTTGAAAAATAGTGAATATGAAACTTACTTTAAATATCACGAAAAGCTTTTAAATTGGGTTTTACGAAACAATTACATATTTTAATTAGGATGAAAAAAAAGAAGAATTTATAAAGCTTATAAAAAAAAATATGATGGAAAAGTTGAATACGTGATAACTGAGGTAAATATAAAAGCATTAAATACATATATAGAGTACTTGAAATGATAATTTACGTTAGGCATTTGAATGAATTTACTTGATAGTTTCGCCTATGGACATGTTTACCTCTATCTTTGAGAATCCTGGCAGGAATTCAACTATATTTTGAACAACAGGACTGAACACAAACTTATGTTTGTCTCAATTACCAGTCAGTCATAATGGCCAAATATGTTCAATAAGTGTTTAATTTCAGTTCGAAAATACTGAAAATATAATATTTTATTAGGCCAGGGCTGGCAAATTGACGGATCCATTGAGAACTGGTGGTCCATTGCCATTAATAAAACACTAAATATGGTTAAAGTGTTACACTAATGGACTCAATGGATCACCAATGGACCACCAATGGACCACACGTTTGCCAACCCTGACTTAGGCTGATAAAGTGTCTGTGACTTTCAGTAAGAATAATCGATAAACTGAAAGAATTTGGATGTGTTGATATTAATCCTCTAAAACTGAGGAGGTCTAAAAGAATCTGTTATTGATTATTTATATTTGACATGTGATAAAATTTGTAACAATTTGTATTGATTATTTATCATATTTTAATATTTATTACAATTAGTTTTGAAGATCCTGTAACGAATTTTAAATAGTGATGTTACCCGTCCAAGGATCTTTAAACAGTTAACATCACTCACTAATTTTAAACGTAATTTGGAGCCAGACGATCCATTATTATCTGGAATTAAATATATTTAAATGTTACAGATAACAAAGGACTGCCGAGAAATCGTGATCGGGGAGTAGTAAGAACCACTAGCAGGGATTGATGGTCAAAGAAGTCATTGAAATTATTGATTGTATTTGTAAAGAAAAGCAATTGCATTTTTGAGAATAGAAAGTTAAATAGCATTGAAATTGTATTTGTATTAATTTAATTAGAATATTGTTATTGAAATTTTGAGTGAGACTCGGACACGATTTCACAACATGTATTTATATAAAATGACGAAGGTAAACTTGAAAGAATGTTTAACCTTATCGACTTATATTTTAAAAATTAGCAAAAATTCAAAAAAAATAATCATCCGTCATCTGTAACTAAAACTGAAAAACTCATCAACCAAAATGAAAATGGGCCAGAAGAGAAAAATTAAGCCCTTGTCTGATCTACGCTTTTTGGATTGATTGCTTCATTATATTATTATATGGAGATGAAAGATGGCTCTGCAATTAAGAAGTTGCAACCAGCTGCTGAATTTCAAATCGGCTTCCAACACCAACTTTATGAGGATATTGAATAATTGATGAAGGCAAGATGGGGACTGCAATGCTCTTGTGCTGTCTAGCAATTTTTGAACCCTGAAATCTTTCAAATTACATTTGCAATATAAACAAAAGCACATCAATGTTTTTAAAATATAGCTCTGTTGCATTATTATTATAGAGACATGTTCTGCGAGCTCAAACCATTTTTCGGAATCAAAAGTCCTCGTCTGTGTGATGAGTTATAACAGTTTTTGCAAGTGATTTTCAAAATTTTAAACCATTTATAACTTTGGAAATTAAAAATATTTTTAACTCCTAGAAACCTTGTCTATAATGTAACAGAGCTGGTTTTTTGTCTATTACGATTTTTTAAAATTTGTATTAGTAAACATTTAGAATTTCTGACAAAAATTACATTTGCGATATGAAAATACATCAATGTCAGTTTTCAGAATTAAAATCCTCGACTGTACAATGAGTTATAACAGTTTATGATGCAAAAGCGATTTTCTTTAATTAAATAAATTGATTTTAACAATCTGAATCTTCAAACGTCTTATAACTTTGGAAGCAAAATAGCCATAAAAAAATTTAAAAATGTTTTTTATTACCAAGAACCTTGTCTATAACGTAACAATGCTATCCTTTTCGTTTTTTTTTATTATGATTTCTTAAATTTTGCATCTAGAAAATCGAGTTTATGATCGACAAAAATATCTTCCTTTATTATTTGGGGGCTTTTCAATAGAAACGGACCATGTTGTGAAAAAAGCAATTTTGAGTTAATGCAAAGAACATTTTTTGGTTTAGAAACCATATACCGTATACTCATTTTGCAAAAACGATAGTAAATATTAAAATGTAGATCTTTTTTAACAACATGGAAGCTCCAATACGTTTGTGATTATACATATCTAACACCCCAATAATGGATGTCACAATATTCTGATCTGTCTGTTCGTACAAAATTTTCATTTATCACAAAAGATGAACGAGTGATTAAAAAAATTTTTTTTTTAATATAAAACTTTTTTTTCTAACGACAGTAATAATTCAAAAGGCTTCTTTAAAGCCTTTTCTTCTTTTCTTTCACCACCATGACATTTCTTCAACGTTCAGTGTCTAGGCTAATACATAGTAATGGTAATAAGTATAGGACCTTTAATAGAAGCGCATCAAACTTTTATAGAAATGGTTTTTTAAGAGCTAATACAACAACCATAACAACAACTCGTATTCCTTCTGTGCTTTATTGTATGTGAAAAAATGTTTTTGTTTTTGAATAAATATCAATAAATGATTGATTGAATGATTAATTAATTGTTTTATTAGGTCGTAATTATGCTACCGAGTCAAGCAATAATGCAGGAACAATTCAGGCTGTGATTGGTGCTGTTGTTGATGTACAGTTTGAGGAAAAA